TTAATAGCCTACTTTTGCTTAAGAAAGCAATTTTACATAAATATTAAGTCCTTTGAAAAAAATCTTATTGAGGTTTTGCCATCCTTGAAATGTTCACTCTTCTCCTAGCTGTGAGTATACGTAAGGATGATCCTTTCAACTCTTCAGATGTTTGAAAACATTCCGTGTTTAGCAAAATTATGCAGACTCTTCACTAGGTGACAAAATGCAAATATTTGGGTGTAAATAATCCCACCAAATTTTAGGCACTGTGAAGAGAATTGGAAATAATAACAAGAAAGCAAGATTGCCAGAGGTGATTTGGATTTCTAACCATTACATTTCTTTCTTCACCCATTGCAAAGGGAGTGGAGATGTCCTCCTGTGTAGCTTTTGTGTCTGAGTTACATTCCTGAAATTTAGTGGGACTAATCTGGATTGTTGATGAAATTAGTTTTTCAGAATATATTGCCTTAGGATTTTGAAACATTCATGAGGATATGCTCAAAATTCCTATGAACTATTATCTGTTTATTACTTTAAATAAATGCAGAGCTAATTTCCTGCACTTTGTAGGTATTGTATAGCTAAAAACCAACAGAGCATCTCCTTTCCCTATGGTGCAGAGGGTACTAATTGGAAGCAACAATGTGTGTTTTGTTCCTAGTGCTTACATGAAGCTGTGAAACAACCTGATATATATCTGAGTAAAAGTTGTAGTTCCTATATAATTTGAATCTTGCGATGTGGTACAGTGTGTGTTGTCCTTGTGTAGAATGTTGAAATTATTTTAATATCTATTCTGACTGGAGTTATGGATCCTGTGTTTTTGATTAATTTTCCTAAATTTAATTAAATTTAAATCACCTCTGCTGCTTTCAAGGTTAAATTAAGTAAAGAAGTATTGAGTTTCTTTTATTAACAGAAGAATAAATAAATCCCCAGATAAAGCAGAGATTGATTCTGCAAGAAGCACCATGGGCAGGGGACTCTTTCCTTGGAAATAATAGTCTTATTCTTTGAGAGAGACTTTCCAGAGGAATGGAAGACTACTGTAAGGCTTACCAAAAGAATACAAATGTATTTTGTTTGTAGAAGTTTTTTTTAAGGTTGTAATAGTAGTAAAGATTTTTAAATTCTTTGTCTTGGCTACCGTATGGTTAAATAATTAATCTACATTATTTTAGCAATTTTGGCTGCAGGCTGTTTCCACTGCTGCGTAGGCAGATCTTAGTTACTGTGTTTCAGCAGCACAATAACAAAAAAAGCCAATTATAATAACCAGAAGCAACAATTTCCAAAATACCTACAAGCAGATGGCTTCCCACTTTAAATGTAGTGCTGACAGTTCTTTGGGATAACTTGGTGTTTCCAGATGATCCAATGTGCTCCTTGAATTTTACCTGAGGTAGATAAAGTGCTATTTTGGCTTTCTTATAACTTGTAAATATTTTACTGTCCATTGGTTATGAAACTATCAATCAGCTATGGAGTTAACTGGGGGAAGACCAGTTCCTTCAATGATATCAGTAAATTTTCATAGCACCTTTGAATGATGTTAAAAATAAATCGATTTATGAGTTCAGATAATCGACCTGCATTGCATCAAACAAAACAAAAAAAGAGTTATGTTTAAGGTAGATATCTATTTGCAATTAAAGATGAGGAATTTCTGCATATATACAGATTCCGAAGACTTGGTTCAGTAGCTTTATGTTCTGTAGTGTTTTTTTCCTGTCCTGAAGTTTTACTTGCTTTTCTCTCAGCTGACTAACCACATTTCAGCTGCAAAACTAGTAATTTCATTGATTATTTCTTTAATATACCCGCTGTTCATATTTAGGCAGGTTCATATTTAGGCAACCTACTGGAAGAGTGCAGACATGCTGTCAAATATCACTGCTAAGAAAGTTTGTGCACTTGCAGATATGCATGTCTTGTGAGTGTGCACTGATTTACATTTTAAGGCTTATCGTTGTTATTAATCATTTGTGTTGCACCAATAATGTACAAAGTGCAATCCCTGTGTATATAGAGCCTATTCTTAATTTTTATTAATATTTCTAAAGTCATTCATAGCAAGTTTCTATTTCATTAATATAATTCCTTCATTTTTTTTAACTGGTGTAGAAAATACTATGTATACATCAAGAACAGTGAATTGGGATTTAAAGTGTAGTCAGACCTTGAGTGGACATTTAGAACTGTTTTTTATCTTACCAAATGGTATTGACAGTTAGGGGTTATAATAAGCAATTTGTTATGTGCTTTAATTATTATCAGCCACTGCTTAGGAGTAGAAGAAGAGAGGAACAAAGTGTTTTTCTGAGTGTGTAGCTTTCAAAGGTGAATTACTAGAGGGGAAGCCAAAGGGGGTAAAAAAATAGTGAAGAGTACCACAAAAACAAAGATGTCTTTTAATCTTGTAGCATCTCTGAAGCAGAAGTAAATAAAAAAATCATTGGGGCGTCACTTTCTTTTTTTAAAACCATCTTTTATAAAAGCTTGAAAGGTGAGGACTGCTCACAGTGCTTTCATATTATCTGAAATTACTTTTCAAGTATTTTGAGTAAAAGGAGCAGTAATAAGCTCCTTTACATGTTTTTTTTAATAGTTGTGTAGTCATTAAAACTTTAGGGATTGAAGGCTGCTTGGGATGCATGCATTATAGTGTGCTGCCTGTCCCTTTGGCTTGGCAAAGAAATACAGAAGAAGCCTCCAGAAGATCCTCCATTTGCTGATGTCAGAAGCAGCAAAAGGGTCAGAGACGTGAATGTAAATTTCTTTTACAGTAAAGATGACCAATTATTGTAGGATGAGCACTCTTATTTTAAATGGGGAAGGTTAGTTTTGTAACTCATAAAGGTTTCAGGCTTTTTCTTTATCAAGAAATGGTTAGAAAGTTGCATTGAAAATCACTCCTGCAGCAAGGTCCATAAATAATGAATATTATCTCTTATTAATCCATATTTTCGCTTAAATCTAGCTCATTCCCAAAAATATTGGATTCTTTACAAGAGAAGGTGATGAGCTGAAGTTCCCAAAGAATTAAATTGTGAAAACAATCTCAGTTTTGAACATGCTAATACAGACCTGTTATTCCCTTTCCACATCTATCGCAACACATTCTAAATTGTGGCTGATTTTCTATGCAAATAGCTGTCTTACTAGACACTGGGCTCTGTGTGCCAATGTCTCCATGGGTTTCTCAGGCATTGCTATGTAACCATCAAAGCAGTGCAAATGAATGATGATTACTGCATCCCTTTGAAGAACAAAGAGGACTCGAGGTTCTAGATGCGAGAGTTGGTGACACTGAGCCACACAGGCAAACCCGAGTATCTCTATGGCTTATTTTAAGTCAAGAAATAATCTTTGCCCGTGTTTTCTTCTTCTGTTTTATTGGCATTGCTAAAACTGCAAACATCTTTCACAGCTGATGTTTTGTTATAAACCATTAATAGACTATGGAAATTGCAAAAGGCAAGTCAAAACAGTCTCTTAACAGTGGCATAAAAAAGCAAAGAGCTAGTTTTGCAGTGTAAAAATGTATCTGTTACCTCCTCAATTAGCTGAAATTTCAAATTGTACTTTTATTTTTCCATTCTAATTATTATGATGTGAATGTTATTAAATACAAGCCAGTCCTGTGAAGTATAATAGAAGGGGAAGGAAATGCAACCCAGTGAATTACAGTTCACTGCAACTGTATTTTACATAAAACAGGGAGTGTTCTCTGAATTGAACCAAAGTAATGTATGGAAAAATTAGAGTGCTATAATTGAATTATCAGTTCAGATTAAAAACTAGTGTCACTCTTCTCTACCTTGCTATTATTCCTGAATACATTTTAAAAAAGGTTGCTGACTTCGGAGCATCCCAGTTCATTTTATGCCATGTGTCCCACAAATGAAATTAAGGAGCCTGGATTTGTCACACTTGACATTAAATGCCCGTAATGCATATAGAACAGATAAATATAAAGTAATAAAGTTTATGGTTTTAAAATGCACCAATAGCTAGTGGGCATCATTCCTGCAGCTATGTTTTAAATCGTGTTTGAAGCTATGAAGAAAATAATGGGATGCTGGCAGTAGTGTTCAGCAGTGCCATGGCATGCTTTTTGGGTCGTGATTTGGCATCTCAGTGCCTTCCAGGGTTGCCGTTCCCAGAAAGCGTGCCTTGGCAGCAACCAGGGACTCTTGTCTTGCTGTAGCACAGCTGGTTGTGCCTAACAGAAAAGTACAGCTCTTGCAGATAACTCCATGGCCATATGTGCACAATCTGCTCATGGTTTGTGGCTACCCAGGATGATTCAGCCGAAGTTTGCCCTTGGCATGGTTCTCATCAGGGCCAGTTGGGAAAAGGCAGGGGTTGGCTGCTGTGCATCTTCTGTGCTTGAACAGTAAATCTGACACTTCTTGAAAACGTCAGACCTCTCATGAGTGCGGGTGTTTATGTTGGGACTCTTGTGTTGTAGAGGCGGTCAGATGGTGGGGCTTATCATCACTGTGGTGAGTCATGTCTTCAGCCCAGCTAAAAGGGTTCAATCCCAGTGTTTTGAGCAATAAGCATGACTGTAGCAGCCAGTTATTTCATAACCAGGGAAAAAGAGGTGAAATGAGTGTGTTTGTAGTATCTGCCACTTGAGAGGCAGCCCTTTGCGGGATGAATATAAAACCATAAGGTTTTGCATGTTAAAAGATACATGAGGAATTTACTAGAGCAGTGTTCAGATGGTGCTTGTTCAGTTACATGAATGGTGTGGAAGCACCAATATACCAGAAGGAACGTCTTTGTATGGATGATTATGCAGCTCCTTGTGCAGTCCTAGTGTCACCTCCTTGTGAGGGTGTGTGCAACATGACTGTGTAACATGAGAATCCCATTGAAGAGTCTGCATGGTTGTTACTTAAATGCAGTGAAGGTGATTTAAACTATCAATACTATGCCTGAGACGTGTAAAAATGCATACAGCCCCAGCTCTCAGTTTTTGTTTTCCATTTCCTATTCGTTCACAGATATCTAGAGCCCATGGAAGGAAAATAGGAGAGAGTGGAGTTGCTGTGTTCTAAGTATCTGCTCATCTGCAGGTGGGTTTCCTGAGCAATTTCACCTGTGGATGCACACAGCCTAGTCCTGCCTCTGACTCCTATGAGTGGTGTAAATGTATTTTCAATAATGGAAACAGCTCACAATTCTCCATTCATTCCCTGGTTTACTAAAGAAATAAATTATATAGGAATGTAATTGGTGGTACCAAATGCTGAATTACAGTGGTACCAAATGCTGAATTACAGTGCAATCAGTTTAAATCCTTTCTTTTTTTCTTTATTTTCATTCAAGCTAACAGGCATTCTGTAATGTTAATAACCCATGCAGTGGAGAAAAAGGTATGTTTAGAATGTATCTAATAGTCTTCAGAATAGTGATGATTAACTCCAGTGTCTCATTGTACTCTGGGAAGGCTTATGTCTTTGTGTATAATCATGTAAATGTTGCTTGTTACCATTTTTCTGACGTTATAAGCAATTGATTTTGTTAGTAATTTATTTAGGAATAATGTTGTGGTTTTTGTTTTTGGTTTCTTTGGTTTTTTTTCTTATACTGACAGTGATTTTTGGATTGAAAACAATGGGTAGAAAAGATGCCTCTACATCAAGGACTCCTGTTGACCAGTACAGGAAACAAATAGGTAAGAGTTTGAAAGAAAAGTTTGTGTGCTTAAAATAAAAACAAATTTTTATTTTTTTTTCCCAGCAAGGCCCACTAGTGTAACAAAACGTAGCATTCCTCTTCAAAAACTTCATTTTGTGTATGCTGTTGAGTAAGTCATTCAACTTTCTGCAGATAGTATTTTAAGTGACTTCAGATAAAGTATATGCTGTCTGTTTGGAAACAGTAGAGGGAATATTGCAGCTAAGTGGCTTCACAATGTTTCTGAAGTGTTGGAACTTTCCTGATTCTCCTGTTTGTCTCTAATTTCATATATGGGCATTTTTACCAAGATACTTTCCTCATTCATAACAATTTTTGATACACTGAATGTTACAGACCTTTGCATTGCATAACTGCATTTATTCTCACACTGATGGATATTTTAAACATGTTAATTTTTTTTCCTTGAGACTTTTTCTATCCTTGACTAATATTTATTTAGGTGACACGTATACAAAGTATGTACATGCACACATGTACCTTCACATACTCACATAGCGAATGCAAATCCCTCTTTCTTCGCTTAAATGCAAAGGTGAATTATTTTTGAAATCCATATATGAGGATTCTGTCTCTGTATGTTAAATAATATAAAGGAGTCACAGTATTTTGAAAGTTTATATTAGGTAACACGTATACAAAGTATGTACATGCACACATGTACCTTCACATAGATACTCACATAGCAAATGCAAATCCCTCTTTCTTTGCTTAAATGCAAAGGTAAATTATTTTTGAAATCCATATATGAAGATTCTGTCTCTGTATGTTAAATAATGTAAAGGAGTCATTGTATTTTGAAAGTTTATCTATAAAATGAAGTACCTTAATCTGTACACAGTTATTTAAGTAAATGACTTTGTTTTACAGTTGCTAAGCACACACATCTGATTAAATATGCAGAAAACAACAAATGTCTGCGGGGAAAAAAGGTTGTTTACTATGTTCATTCTGAAGGTGAAAGAGCTAGGGTTGTGGTGATGGTGTTCGTAGTAAATTCATTTTTTTTAGATGTGACACATTGCTCTTAAGTTGGCGAAAGCAAGTGTTAAAAAATAATAGGGAAGAATCTTATGCTGGCAGGCAAATAAACTATATAACTTAGGAGGTGCTTCTGTGATTGTAATACTCCTTAGAGGACAGAAAGCATGAATAGACTGTGCTCTGCCTTTTGTTCTGACAGTGGTTGTTTCAGCTCCTACTCTGGACATTCACTGATACTGCTATAGAGTTTGCCAATGGAAATCAGTTCTCTGAACTTAATGAATGTAAGAGGGGGAGTTTGAAAACATTTAATACGATTTTAGACTTACAGTTTTGCAGTTGTGTTTGAGTTTTATGTGTAACCATTTTAGGCTATGTCTTGGCCTGGTAGCTGAGCTTGGTGGAGTGAGCTTTCTAGTCTCATTATGCCATTAGGTGTATTATGGGACAAATAGGTGTATTATTGACAAATATAATCCAGTTTGCCCTAATGAATATAAAAGTGGTGTTGTTTTTTAGGTTTTGTTGTTTTTTTTTGTTTGGTGGTTTCTGTTTTTTTTTTTTTTTAGTCATTACTGCTTTATTTTTTGTTCTTATATAGTGTGTTGTTTTTTGGGTTTTGTTTTTTTTTGTTTGGTGGTTTCTGGTTGTTTTTTTTTTGGTCATTACTGCTTTATTTTTTGTTCTTACATAGTTTTGCATAACTGGTAATAATTCATCCATTTGTCACAGGATGGTTAAGGTTGACAGGGACCAGTGGAGGTCATCTCATCCATCTGCCCTGCTCAAGCAGGGCCACCTAGAGCTAGTTGCCCAGAACAGTATTCAAATGGTTTTTAAATATCTCCAAGGATAGGAATTCCACAACCTCTCTTCCTGTGTTTGACTATGGTCAAAGTAGAAGGTGATTTTTCTTTTGTTTTTCTGTGTGTGCCCATTGCTAGTCCTTTGACAGGGCACCACTGAGAAGAGCCTGGCTTTACACCAGGCTCTTTACACCCTCCCTTCAAGTATTTCTATCTACTGATGAAATCCTCTTTGAACCTACTCTTTTCTCCCAGGTAAGTTTTCTCAGATCTCTCAGTCTTTTGTCATAGCAGAGATGTCTAGGTTGTTCATTTTAACTCTTCTTCATTCTTCTTGGCCTGATTTCATTCAAGTACTTATTAGAAATTACACAGAATGAATTTTTTTTAAACAGTCATTCTTTAAGACTTAGATTTGACACTAAGGTACTTTTGCAGGGATGTTTTAGTGTGAAGCTGTTCAACAGATGATCCCTCAGAACACAGAGTGCCCTAATGCTCCAGGCTCAGTTGTTTTGTAGATGGACATTTGGTCACCCTTTCTAAGGTAGATTATGTCTAGAAACAGTAAGCAAAGTGAGGCTGCACAGGGCCTGTCTTTAAAAAAAATAATTCATCAAATGAATTTAAAGCTCAAAATCCATGCTTGGAGTGATTGCCGGCCTTTTTTTCCAGCCATTTGGTATCTATGGATTGTTGAAAACATTATGATGGATGCTGGCTGAACAGCTATCTCCTGCTGACTAATGGTGTAATGTTATTTTTTAGCTTAAAACTTAATGTTTTCTAGCCTTGCTGGATACAAGGTAACCAGATTGAAACATTTTTCATACCTTTTTTTGATGGAAAATGGCAGCCTTCAAGGAACAACATGTCACAAAGTCATATCAACTTCCAACACAATTTTCAGTTAGATGTTTAGTGGAGTAATTTGAAATAGAAGCAGATTTTTAATTTCATTTTGTTCCAAGCTTTCTGTTTTGTTCTGAGTTTCCATACGGCGTGCCACATGTTTGCCCTGTGCCATGGTTCAAGTTCATGTTGATTACTTCAGTTCAGCCGTTTGCCTTTTTCTCTTCTCCATGAGAGCGGGATCACTCGTATCGTGTTTGCCTCTGTGCCACTAGCAGTTGCTGTTTGCTTCAGTAGCATTTTCAGAGGATTCCCCCAGTACAGAGATTGATACTGTTCTTCCCTGACAGCTGGCTTTCAGCCATCTCTCCTGTCACCAGCCAAAATTTGTCTGTAGTGCCACTTAAGCTAGTGCTCCAGTATCTGACAGTGGCACTGCCTTCTCAGTGGGGCGCAGAGACAGTTACCAGACCAAACTGGCAATGGCTTTGTGAAGCCTAGCCCCAAGTGGACCAGGGACAGCCACAGCAACCTTTTCAAACTGGCTTTAGCTGTGCCTGGAGGAGGGAGGATGGCACCAAGGGATCTCTCCCTGTTCAAATCTCCATGAGCAGCCAAGGCTGTAGAAGAAACCATGAGGAAAAGTAATTTTAACACTTCTTGCTCATCTCTCACTCACAAACCCAAATATGTACCTGTAGTGCAGCAGCAAACAGGGAAGCTCTTTTGCAGAGCATTTCCTTCTCCCTGCTGCTGTTTGTGCTGCTGTGCTTAATTTGCTGGAATCTGAGGAAAGGTGTGAGGCAGTATGCATCCTTCTGCATTTATGCAGCTTTGCTCCACAAATGCTGTGAAAATAGCAACAGGTTTTTTACCATATTTGCTTTGTTTACTGTTATGTGTGCTTTAAGTTCCCAGAACAATTCCACATGTATATTTTCCATCCTTCTTCATCTGGTGTGTCGCTTGCTCAGCATGGAAGCTGCAGGATTTGTGGGTAGTGTTCATGACTTGTGTGATTGTGGGATCCTAAGCAGGCATACTGAGAGGATTATAGCATAACTAAAACCTGGTCTACAAATCAGGAATAGACATACTTTTGGCTCCCATTACTATTGTGTTGCTGTAGCATAATTTTTCATGAGGAGAGGTTGTTTGCCAATCATTCAACCTTCAATTTGTAGACTCAAAGGTCTGCCTATTGTCTGTTCTATATCTCCTGACTTGCCAGCTTGATCTTTTAGGAGCTGGAGCTTATATAGGCATAGCCTGGGGGTTCTTTGGAGCAAATAAGGCTTCTCACATCCCCCTGGGAAAGAGTAAAAGTTATGAATGAAAATATGTTCTCTTTTTGTTTTGGAAAGCACAAAGATCTACTCGTTTTGCAGTGACTTGGTGATGGAGGTGGTGCTCATTGCCATCACACATGTGGAGCCATGGGGCAGGGAAGGGGACTGGGTAGGAGTCCTGAGTCCTGCTGTGGCAGCACAGGAGTAGAGAGAGCAGTGACCACCTGAACTAGCAGATAAAACTTTGTAGGTAAAGCTGGGCCTTGTAGGGATGTAGGTACACAGTTTGTGGTATTTGGGAGTGGGGCTGCTGCCAGGCCTATCCGTAATGGGCTACAGCTCTGCAAAGCAGGTGAACAGCATTGAAAGCAATGAGACATGGAGTCCTGAGGTGCACTGACCAACCACCAAAGGGAACAGAAGGCACACAGGTACAGTGCATGTAAGGTGAAGAGTATAAAAGGTTGGGTTAAAGAACAGGAAGGGCAGATACTTGAAGCCTTCCAAAGTGATTTGATGTTGCTGTGTATGGGCAGATGCTTAAAGCCTTCTGAAATTGCCTGGTGGTCCTGTGTGATTGTCTCAACTGTGACATACGACATACATGGTGTGGAGACTGGTGACTTGTCCAGAAGAAAGTTGTCTCATCCTAGGGCTGAGGCTGTGATGTCACTGAGATAGAGAAGAGCTTGGGGACTAGTGGCAGCATGAACATTTCTGGGGCTCCCACCTCCAGCTACCAGCTGGGGCATGGACCTGTTGCCTTCTTGTCTCCAGAGAGAAGCCTTTCTTGTGGCAGATTGCCTTTTCTACCTACCCTACTGCTAAAAAGTTGTCTTTACCACCTCAACTCTTCTGTTTTGTGTTACTGTTTACTTTCTCTGTGTTTTTATGGACTTAGTGTACCTCTATCTTTCTTGTCCTGAGTAGTGCTGTTGTTTACTCAAAAAAAGCTGGCCACTATCAGCCTTCCTTTTCACATTAAAAAGAGTGAAAATATTATATTTTGATACTTTTATTTGAAATATGTTCCATACTTTGACATG